CAGCAAATCATTCTAGATTTCTGTACTCCTGGCAATCATCGAGAGCATGGAAAGGTGGAGGCCAGAGTGAAGATTGTGAAAGAACTTCTAGAAAAGACTGGAGAGAATGGAATAAAACACAGCTTTCTGCAATGGGAAACTGTAGCGTTGCGACTTTCAACCTTCATGAATTCACTTCCTATTGCAAGAGGAGAAGATTCAAGAAATCCTAAAGATATGGAAGTGTTTGGGGTTATTTGTCCTAATCACTTCATTCTAGGAGCTAATCCGAAGAGGATTTTAGATGGGACAAGTACACTCGTTGGATCAAAATGCAAGATGTTGGAGAATCTGGAAGAAACTAGAACGTTCTTGGAGGATGCATTGTTATCACACTTGCACAGATTCATTCCGTCATCATTGGGACATAAATCCGACAAGGTTCCAGAAGTAGGTGATCTGGTGATATTTATCATGAAGGATAACATGAGATCAAGGAATAAGATCTGGAAGTTTGGACGAGTTATTCAAAACTACGTTGATGGACGTGGTGGAAAGTTAAGAATTTGCTACAAGAATGCAAATGAAGCTGTTGTAAGAGAAATTGAACGACATCTCAATCAAGTCTGTTTAATTCAATCTCTTGATGAGGTTGATTTCAATACTGAACAGCACAGACTGGCAATGGAAATCCAGCAGAAAGTTCAGTAGCCTAGCATACTTATTGCCAGGAATATTTTATGCACTATAATTGCAATTTATTTATTGTTGAAGTATTGCACTATTATTGCAGTTTTTCCATGTTTGTATCTGTACACAAAACAATTGTTCTGTATGAAATAAATAGAGTAAATAAATATTTGAGAGAAGAATTTTTTTTATTAGAAGAGATGAGTAAGGCAAGTTTATTGCCAGGTAGAGCAAGTTTATTGCTTAAAGTTTTCCCTGGAATGTGTATGATTATTGCCTAATTTTGTATAACGGTTTGGTGCCTAAATATAGCAAGTTTATTGCTAGAAATATGAACTATAGAAGATTATGGTTTTCTTTTTTAGTAAAGCAAGTTTATTGCTAAGAGTAGTTTTGATGTTTTGCGTTCTTTAGGGATGGAGGAAGATTTAGCAAGGTATGCTGCACATCCTGGGGAGTACACTGTGTCTTCAAAGAAGTTAAAGGATATCCATTTGTGTAACCCAAAGAGCTGTAAAGCAAAGAAGCCAGGACAGGCTTGTTTTAGAGATTTTTATAAGAATGTGGATACTTCTGCTATTTATCACATACAAGATCCAAATAGTTCTCATGAGGATACAGTTCACGTTCACAATGTGAAGGTTATCCCTGTCCCTGTGGAAGGTGTAGAAGAAACCTTGGTTAACGGAGTACCATTCCTAGACAAGCTGGAGGAAAAATTCTCATCCCTGGAACCGTCTAAGTCTTGGGGAGAAGTTTTCTGGAGTCATATTGATTTCTGGAAAAGAAACCGGTCTCCTTCTTATAGGCTTTACCGGGAGGTGGAAAAGAATGGAAACCTCTACAGTATAACTGTCGGCGAGACATCGGAGAAAGAAGCAGCAGTGAAGGTAGAGAGTTTTAAAACCTCTATATTCAAAGGAGCTGAGAAGTTTAAACCGTTTCCTAGAGTTTTTATAGCTCTGGATGTTGAGGGTAAGAGAATGGTTGAGGGATCAGATGTTCCGATGTTAGCCAAGATTCATCTTGGTGATGGATTCTCGAGCTTTTTGGAGATAAATTTTCCAGCAAACAAGAACGAGATACCAAAAGCCGTGGTAGAGTTGTTTGAAACAGATGATTTCGTCTTTGTTGGGAATGATTGTACTGAAGATCTTGTTATGGTGGAATATGCAGTTTCTACTCTAACTAGTGCGGATTGGGAATTCAAAGCAAAATGGATAGACACAGCAGCTCTGTGGGTAGGGCTTGGAAAATGGGCCAAGAACTCATTCGGTCTAAGTACCTTGCTCTATCAATGCCTTGGTGGGTTTTTACCTAAGAATTTCAAGTTGAGTTGTGCTCCTGATTGGACACAATCTCTGTACAGGTTACCCTGGCAGTATACAGTGTACAATGTCGGAGATCAGTTTGCTATTATAGCTGCTCTACATCTATTTTTTATGACTGCCATACAGACCATAATTCCAGATAAGGAGAAGTTTGTGCAGAGACTGAGGCTTAGCGATTCTGACAGTGCTAACCTTTTTATCAGCATTATAACTGAAACCTTTACGGGAGTCTGCTTTGATGGAGCCTACTACCAAGGAGCGCCGGCATACCTCAGAGAGCAGGCAGTTATCCAGGTTCCAAGTGGAAGGTATAGTGCATTCCGGCATAGGATGAAGGAGGATGAGTCTCCACGACTGAATAGGTTGCTTAAGATGTGGGGTAAACCTGTTTGGTTTCTTCGCTCGAGTTGGGAGTGTACAGAAAAGGTTAAGTTCACGGAAGGGTTCTTGGGAATATTAAAGGAGTTAAAGTTTTGTGAATATGCTGACATAGTTATAAGTCCCGAGGATGAGTCGGAGTCGGAAGATGAATCGGAAGATGAGGTGATGATTCTGAATGCCTCTGAAGATAGTGAGATGATTGTTCTTGAAAATTGTGTAAATCACGTGGATTATCCATCAGATCCTGTTGAGGATTCTTTAGAGAATCTAGTGAAGGATGATTTGAAGTGTGAGCCGATGAAAGGAACTAGAGCCTCCAGATTTCTTAGACCTAGGCCTACATGGAATCCATCAGGATATGATCCGAAGAGAACACAATTACAAAGTTTGTTAGATAGAGGAGTCCCTCATGTAGCTGTTGATAGGCATGGGGTAGAATACACTCGCCGAGCTAGAAACTGGACAGAATATTTGTCAATCAGGGAAATGCTGAAGGATGTACGACCGGAGGAGATTTGAAAATTTGTGAATGATAACCCAATTATTGGGCTAAAGTGGATCAACTCAGCGACTGAGTGGGGAAAATTCCCTACTCCAACTAATTTCCGGTTCATGGGAGGGAAATGGTACCGAGATGTAGTTCAACTAGTTGAAAAGAAGTTGAAGATCCGGGTGAAAAACAAGCACCCATACAACAAGATCAGAGGTGGTAGGAAGACTCGAAAGTTCTAGAACATGCTTATGTGCTAATTTATAGCTTAAATACACCCTTGTCTCTGATTGCTTCTTTACCTAGGATTAATAGCTCACTTATAGCTACTTGCTTAAATATTTTGATTTCTTGGGAGAATATAATTATTGAGAACCATCTGGCCCCGGCCCAGTGTTGTGTAATTTATTTAATGGTTCTCAATAATTTGTTAAATGTTGATAAGGATAAACTTTTTATTCTCTGCCAAGTAATGCATTTAATGCAACTGATTGCTTTAATAGAAGCAAAATAGAGTTAAATTGATCAGTTCGGACTAGTTCCTATTAACTGTTTTATTGGGCAAGATTATTGCTCCAATAAAGTAAAAGCAAACTTATTGCCATAAACTAAGTTTAATTGCTGATTTAGTGTGTAATTGGATAACACACAATTATTGCTATTTAATAGCAAGTAAGTCCATGACTGATAGTTCATGGGATAATAGGGTGATTGTCATGAATTAGAATTCCCTAACATTTATTTAGACTGGATACAAATAGTCTACAGAGTCCTAAAGAAATACTTTTCACTTAAATTGCTGAGAAGCTAAGCAAAAAGCACATTTAATGCTTTTATTGATAAACAATAAGTGAAGTCTAATCTTAGGTTAGCCATCATTACTAATACACGAGTCTAACCCTGCGTTGGGTTAAGCATGTATTGCTTAACTGCCAACATTGCTAATATAGCAAAGTTATTGCTCAAATTTGCTATATACACTAACATTATGTTTATTTAGTTTTTGAAACCGCTGTGCTGTTATCAATCTGTGAGCTGAACGGACCCATTTCTAAGAAGATTGTATTTATTAATAAAGATTTACATTACTTAACCTTGTCATTTATTTATTATCGGGATTAGATAGCAATTCTCTAAAATTGCGCAACATTTCAAAAATTGTTTCGATCAACCTGCAGATGTAGGTATTAAATGACAAGGAAGTATCATAAATCCAGACCACAGCGTCTCCTTAGAAAGGTCCTTTCGTACAATGTGGAAAAAGCCATAAAATTAGCATCTAAAGGAAAACATCCTTTTCCTCTAAGCAGAATCAGTGATGCAAATACATCACCAAATCCCAATTTGGCATGGGATTATGAATCCCTCCCTGTAAGTAGGGAATCTGCACTTTATGCGACTCCTTTCTCTTGTAGTTCTGTCAAACATTTATTTGTAAGAATGGCTGATGGGACTATGAGTGACCTTCATGCTACAACTGATTTAGAATTAGAAGTGACCCTGATGCATTTACAATTCAATGCAAAAGGATAATTAGGGTTCTTGTTAACAATGTACCAAAGCCAGAAGTGTTAGCAAATTTAAACAGTGAGAGAATAGCACTTATCTGTACCAGAATGGAGAAAGGAGTTAGGAAATTAGATTCTTATGCTAGTATACTAGAAGAATACTTGACTGCAGATGAATCCACGTTAGGTGAGGAAGAGATGAGAAGTCTTGAGCATCTCCATGGTTCCTTAACTTCATCTTTGCTAGATCTCGGAGTTAGTCTAACAAATCTTGAGAAAACCAGAGAAGACGTAGAAAGAGAAGAGAAGCAAAGGAAGATGGTAGAAACAGCTAGTAGTGACACAGCAAAGCTCGGAGGTTCACAGTCTTTAGGAGCGAAAACTGTGAGAAGTGTTAAAGAGAAACAAATGGATAATCCCGAGATTAGAAATTTATTTGCTCAAGAGGGAGTGTTTGACAGTCAAACAGTATTTACTCCAGTGGCCTCAAGTGAACAGAGAAGGGAGGTTACATGGAGATTACCAGAATTAAGTGACAACTCAAGAGTCAGAGCAAGTGATAGCTCAGCCACAGCGTCAACTTTCTCTCCAAATTTTACAACAATCGTTCCTTCGACAGGTCAGACTATTGCAGAAGCATCGGAATCCTCTGGAAGTAAGTTTATCTTAAAACCGAGGGTTATGAAGTTGGCGTGATGTAGATCATGATCCAACCAGTATAGTGGAAATATTAATAGTAGATGAAATGAAACAAGTGAAAGAAATCATAGATTCTACTTCCCCAGAAGACATCCCAGATGCAGAACTTCTTAATCTTGAAGAAAAAGAAGTGAAGAATCTTCAGAAGATTCTTAACCAAATGATGGAGCGACTTGCTAAAATGGAGGAAAAGGGTAATCAATCTGCAAGTTTTCAGAGAATTTATAACAGTGCGATGGATGCTCACAAAGAGGCAAGAGAGTGGATAATTATGGTATCAAGACTGATTAAAGGGAAGGAACTCTGGTATGCCAGTTCCAAAACCTTAGGCACTCCGCTGAAGCTGGAACCATTTGATGGATGGAAAAGTGATGTTAATGTGTTTGAGTTTCTGAAGATGTTTAAGATAGTCACACGAAACTTGAGTCGAAAGGATGCCGCTCAATACCTATACAATAACTACCTGTCCAAAGATCTACAAGCTAGTTGCAAACATGTTAGACATAACCTGGAGGATATGATGTCATTGTTGTCAAAGAAGTTTGGAGATGTATCTAGAATTCTTGAAGAGAAGAAATCCCAGATTAAAGCTTTACCTATACCATCACGTACCAATAAGTCTCAGGAGAGAAACTACTTCAAGAACATTGCTGAGATTTTAGACCAAATTGAGAATCTAGTCGTGGATAACGAAGATCAGTATAAAGAACTTTATAAGGATGTCTACAGTTACAGCTTAACAAATGAGTTGGTCAAGCTTCTTCCAGAATTCATCAAAAAAAGATATATTGAAGAGTATGTGAAGATCTCTGATAGTCATTATGATGGAGCAGAGTTATCTGGAAAGAAGTCGTTTGAATTGCTATCAAAATTTGTTCATCAACAATACCGCAGTGTGGAATTCTTAATGGATAAATTGTCATTAGAGAAGGATGATCAAGTCAAAAGAAAGGTTAATACACTCTCCCCCAAACCTAAGAAAGCTGTAATGAGTGCAAGACCTGATAAATGGGTTCGAAGTGTGTGTTTTATGCACAAAGAGCTTAAGAAGAAAATTCTTCTTGAATGCGACACCAAAAGAGAGGAGAAAAAAGGCTGTAGAATTTGGGCTTTGCCTTACTTGCTTTATGTTCAAATGTTACAAGAAGTCATCAAATGGCAAGTGTTTATACAAGGATCAAATTCCAGTTCTAGTGATTTGTCAAGAGTGTGCAGTACATGATGGGAGAGATTGTAATGTTTTGATGTGCTCCAAACACACAAGTGATACTAAGGAAATAAGGAAAGCTTTAACATCGTTCCTTGCAGGCTTTGATGATTCTACTAATATTAAGATGTATACGTTGGGAGTGTACAAGATGAGATCCAACTCTGATGGACAAGCTGAAGAAGAATATGATTCCAAAGTATTTGTATCCAAAGGTAGAGTACTAGATAAGAAGGATGTATTAAATAAGATTCACCCAAATATGAAAGAAGATTAGTTATATCTATTCCAACAGTTATCATTCAATGGAAAATCTGCAACTGTATTCTATGACTCTGGAGCAAGTATGTCAGCAGTGGAAGGAGCATTTGCAAGAGAAGTAGGTTTTCAGGTCATTGATGGTCGTGAGCAGTTTATTAACGTAGCTGGTGGAAGCACATTTAGTACAGGGTTTGGTATCTTTGGAACCACACTAGGACCTGCGGAAGATGGAACATTCTTTAGGATAAATATGTTAGGAATGGAGAAAATAACCACAGATTTTCCTGTGTACAATCTCTCCAATTTTGAGAAGGAACTTAGACAGTATCAAAAATCATCCCCTATCTCTAAAGAACCGTGTCCAAAGTTTGTTTGGTGGGCCTGTAAAGATTATTTTAGGGATTAAGGAAAGCTATATTCAACCGAGACTGGAGATGATCCTCCCGTCTGGTCTGCAGGTGTATAGAAGTCAGATAAAAGACGTGTTCAACTCAAATCTGATATTTGCTGGTCCACATGCCGATATTACTCTGGCAAACAGTGGCCAGAGTGATGGCATGAACAATTTGAAGATTCTGTTCAGTTCAGAATATAACTCTTTCAGAAATTCTTTGTATACTGATAGTTTCCTGTTAGGAGAACCAGTACTGTACAAGACTGAGAATATGATTCCATTAGAGGCTGGTTTTAACCCAGTTTTTGCTTCGGCAATAGAAGAGACTCAGATTGCTCAACCGGAATGTCCACTTAACAAGGCAAGTTTAGCGCCAGGTGATTTGAAACAGTCATTCTCATTTTGTAGATGTTGTTTTGCACCTGGAGTAGAGGTTTCCATTGAGGAAATAGAAGCCCCAAATCAGTGTGAGTGGATCAGTCTTAGTGATGAAACATTAGTTCAAAGCAAATTTATTGCGAATCAGGTGGAATTCGGAGGTCAATTGCCAAATTTTAGGGCAGAACTACATGCTGTAAAGCGGAAACCTCGTGCTTTGGAACAAAAATTTAAAGAAATGGAGGATATGGGTTCCAGGATAACTTACTGATGTGCAAGGTGTAGTTCTTGCGAAGAGTGCAAGAATAGTGAAAGGACCCGAGAGACTTCTTTCCGGGAAGAGATAGAAGAAGATATTATTAACAGTTCTATAGATATTGACCTGGAGGAAAAGGTTACTTATAGTAGATTTCCTTTTAAACGTAATCCTGAGAGGTATTTAGCCAGGTTGTGGAATGGTGAAACAAATAATTATAAAGTAGCTTTGAAGATTTTTGATCAGCAAAGGAGAAAATCTCTAGAAACTCGTAAAGCTACAGTGAAGTTTCACAGTGAATTAGTTGATAAAGGATTTGTAGTTCCTTTTTATCCTTACCACAAAGTGTTCAGGAAAGGGTAAATGATGGTAAACTAAAGCATTATCTGTATTGGAGAACGGTGTTTAATGAAAATAGCTTGTCCACCCCTGCAAGGATTGTAGTTGATCCCAGCATGTCGGGGTTCAATGATACACTGGCAAAAGGAATCAATTGCCTGAACTCTTTGTACATGATCGGTATCAATTGGAGAAGCTGGATTGTAGGGTTTACTGCAGACATAAGTAAAATGTATAATACTATCAAACTCTATGAAAGTGAATATAGGTATGTACTTTTTCTGTGGTCACCCACGTTAGACCCCCAAGAGGTAGTGGAAACCTGGGTTTATGTGTGTGTTACTTATGGGTTAGTATCCTCTGGTAATATCACAACAGCGGCATTGCGGAGAATAGCGACAATGTTTAAAGATCAATATCCGTTGGCATATGTTATTCTCTTGAGGTTCACCTATATGGACGACATTAGTGGGGGAGCTTCAGAGAAAGCTGATGCTGTTGCTATACTCAAGCAGATTGAAGAGGCAATACCTAATGCAGGTTTTAAGTTGAAAGTTACCTGTATCAGTGGAGAACCACCCCCAGAGAAAGCAAGTGCTGATGGAATACATACAATGTTTTGTGGATATCGCTGGGCCACACAGAAGGACTTAATGATGATTGGGTTTAGTGAAGTAAATTTTAATCCTAAGCTGAGAGGAGCAAAGAAACCCAACGAAGAACTTGTAGATTCAATTGAGAAAGTTGAGAAGCTTGTAGACTCAGTACAACTAACTAGACGCATGTGTTTGTCTAAAGTGATGGAACTGTATGATGCCATCGGAGTTGTTGAAGTCATTAAGGCCAAGCTAAAATTAGATATGAAAGAAGTAACTATTTTTGAGTTTGATGAAGTTTTGCCAGAGAATCTCCAGGAGGTATGGAAGAAAAATATTACTCTAATTCATCAAGCCAAAGGTATTAAGTTTCCTCGATCCTTTGTGCCGGTGAATGCAAGAGAACCAGAGTCAATTGAACTGATAGTAACTTGTGATGCTGCTCAGTGGATGTGTGGAGTAGCGATATACTCTTGAATGCTAACAAAGGATGGTACTTATTGTGTAAGGTTAGTAACTGCGAGATCTAAGTCAGTTCATCACACAATTCCTAGAAATGAGTTAGAAGTATTAGTGTTAGCAAGTGAAACTTTGTTCTGTGTTCTTAAGGCACTGGGATCAAGATGTAGAAGATACTGGATTGCAAGTGACTCTGAGATCGTGTTAGCATGGGTGACAAATGACTCAAAACCATAGAAGCAGTTTTGTTTTAACAGAGTGCAGCATATACGGAGGTTAGTAGATATTCAGCGTCTGTTTCATGTTCCTGGCTCGCAAAACCCTAGTGATAAGCTTACTAGAGGAGTCGATGTAACCCCAGAGGAGTTACAAGAAGGGAGTGAATGGCAATCTGGAGCAGAGTGGATGTCTAGAGAAGAAGATTTCTGGCCTTTGAGATCATTTGAAAAGCTCGGAAATAAGATGGATCCTACCCAGGTATCAGATATGGAGAAAGAAATTTTAGATTTACCGTCGGTCCATTGTCCGTCTGTGTTTCTAACATGTTATCTTAACTCACGTCAAATAACTACGTCAATCTGTTGAACAAAATATTAAAGCTTGATGAAAATATTTGCGCCATACTCATAAACTTATAAGCTATTAAACAAAACAAAAATAATGTCGTTTTACCTTAGAATTATCAGTTAAATGTTCACAATTTGAAAAGCAACGGGTAACTGTGCTGTAGAATGAGTTGGCGTCTATTTTCAATGCCGCGGTCCGCGCAAGCTTACCGATAGTACTCTAGCTTTCGGTTAGGGTGCACCGAAATGTTAGAAAACTATTTCGCCGAATATTATTAAAAACGAGTGTTGCTATTTGGGCTTCCAATTTTTGAACTTGTCACCATATTACATATGAAAGAAAAATGAATCAAGGCAACTACTCATATTATTAATATTCGACGAGTTGGTTTTTCTTACAGTTTATTATTTACAAAGATACAAAAACTAAAAGGATGATACTATACGAATCAAATATTATGAATTGAAGTTGTTTCAGAGTGATGGGGAATCTTCAAGGGAACCTCTAGTTAAGGGAGCTGGTCTTCAACTGATTCTTTTTCCCCAGATTTCGCTCCACCCTGGGCTAGCATTTAACCCTAGTACCCCGTGAGCTGGCCGGCTAGCCCACCAGCCCCCGGGTCTCTGGAATAACGGAACTTTCAGCTTGGCCTGGGTTATTTATAGAATTCATGTGCAAACTCAAATAAATCCGTTAGGATTCAAAACAGGATTCAAAAGTAGGATTCAAAAGTAGGATTCAAAAGTCCAACCGAAGGGTAAAGGGGGGGGGTGGTACCCCTAGGTAGCTATGATCTCAGCGATCTAAAAAGATCTTTGAATCGCTGATCGTAAAAGATCAACAAAATCACCCATTGTTACATTATGTTTATTTAGTTTTTGAAACCGCTGTGCTGTTATCAATCTGTGAGCTGAACGGACCCTTTCTAAGAAGATTGTATTTATTAATAAAGATTTACGTTACTTAACCTTGTCATTTATTTATTATCGGGATTAGATAGCAATTCTCTAATCTCCATTTTATTTTTATTTTATTTGTCGTCTTAAACGACGACTTTTTAGCGCTAATAATAAACATGTTAAGAATGTCCTGTTGTCGTATCCTGTGCAGGCCATTTGCAGTAAAGGAAATGAGTCTTTGCCACAAATACCAACTTTCTAATACCTATATATCTACAACCAAATGATGTAAACCTTTGATATTTTAAACTTATATTGTTTGATGTAGCAGAAGTCTTAGTTTGAAATATCTAAGGTCTACACCATTGGGTTGTTAATATATAGGGATTTAAAATTCAGAGTTTGTGGCAAAAACTCAATTCCTTTGTCAAAATCTAGCAGTTCAATTTTTATGATTCTTTTGTAGTCCATCGTAACCAGCCCATCTCCCCCTCCCTAACTCTAATAAAACCCCTTAAAAATAATTTGTTTTGATTCCTGTGGGATTAGGAAGAACAAATCATCTGAATCAGGCTCAATACCAGAATCCTCCGAGCTCTGACGGGGTGGAGGAGAAGGACTTTTCTTCCAGGCTGATACTGATCCGAACCCAGATCCAGATTCAACCCTGATCACGTCCGATCTTGATTCAGTCCTGCTCCCAGTTCCTGAATCGATCCTGATCCCAGATCCTGAGTCAATTCTGTTCACGTATCCCGATCCAATCCTGATCCCATCGGATCTTGATCCAGCCCTGGTTCTACATCCCAATATAATCTTGCTTCCACTAGATCCCGAACCAATCCTACTCTCACCAGATCCAGAACCAATCCTACTCCCAGTTACAGAATCAATTCTGCTTCCATTTCCTGATCCAATTCTACTCCCTGACCCTAAATCAACCCTACTCCTAGATCCTGATCCAGCTCTGCTCTCGGTTCCTGAATCAATCTTGCTCCGAGCTCCTAGTTCGATCCTACTCCCAGACCCTAACCCAATCCTGCCACTGGATTCCGAACCCACCGCTCTTCCGGATCCTTGCTCCATCCAATCAGAACCAACTGAAAAGAAATTAAGTTTTTGCCTCATCGTCAAATTTTATCTATTTTTACTATAAATCTTTGCTACCTGATGGTGTAATACTTTGATATTTAAAACTTATATAAATTTATCTAACAGAAATTTTGTGTTGCAAGGATCGGGTTTAGAAAATCAGAGTTTGTGGCAAAAACTCAGTAAGATCATTGCTACAAACAAGCGTTTTGGTCTGTATGAAACAATTCTGAAACAATTCACAACTAGAAAAATACCAGCAATTTTCTTACTTGTCTTTGCTGGAGAAATCAACGGGAACCCACACGGGCATTATAGGTTTCCATGTTTTTAAAGAAATTAACCCCAGTAAAGAGGTTCAAGGTAACCATTGCAGATTTTTTAAAAGTTTATATTAGTTATTATTAGTCACCAGTTTGGTCCACAGTGCTTGAGAGACAAGTTGTAGAGGTTAGAATTGAATTCTCATCTTCAAGTTCAGATTCTGAAATTAGAAATTTTAGTTTAAATAAAAATAAAAAATGATACAGAGAAAAAAATTAAAAAGGTTTATGGAAAGGAATTGAGTCTCTGCCACAAACTAAATCTTTGCAACCCAATGTTGTAGACCTGAATATTGTAAACTTGGAAGTATGAAATATTTAAAGTTTACATCATCAGGTTACAAAGATATAGGGATAAGAAAATTTGAATTTGTGGCAAAGACTCATTTACTAATGAGATTATTAAAAAGATGTAGATATACATTATTAAAAGAGAAAGGAATTGAGTCTTTGCCACAAACTAAAATTTTTTTTTCGTTCTATACATCTTTGCAACCTAATAGTGTAAACCTTTGAGATTTCAAACTCTTTGATTGGGTTACCTTTATATAAGGGTTAGAAAATCAGAGTTTGTGGCAAAGTCTCAATTCCTTTCTCTCCCATTTTTACATTTTTGGAAAACTTTATAAGACAAAAGATTAAATTAGCTATTTAGTTAGTTTAAAAAAAAAGTATTTTAACCTATAAGAAAAGAATACGAAATACAAATATCTGGTGAAGATAAAAATTCCTTAAAACCTTTTTATACTTTTAAAGTTGTAACCTAGATCTATGAGTATAGGATGCAAAAGACCGTAATCAACACTTGTCTGTCTCTGAAGTCGTTTTCGTCTATCCATCCCTCCTCCTCCCCCTCCTCCATACCTTCTTCTGTTCAGAATATTATTCCGGCCTAAAAACATTCAATCTATTGTTTAAAAATGTTACTATTCTTTAAGTTTTTAAGAAAAAAAAAAACAGAAATCAAATATTATTTTTTGTCGTACCATATCTACCCCCTTTTAATGAGGAGGAAATAGAGAAGTAATGTATTTTGTGTGCTTACTGCAAAATTGCACAAAGCATTGTCTGTGAAAAAAAACCGGAAAACGAAAATTTTTGATAAAAACAACCCGGCTTAAAATCTATATAATTACCTGTTATATTTCCCATGCTAAAGGGAAGTATAGGCCGATCTATTAGCAGTATTTTGAACTGGATAAACCTTAAACAAAAATTATATGTTTAGATTTCGACATTACCAAGACTAGGTTAAAAAAATTAACACTATATGAAATATGCAGATATCGATTAATGATATTTTTGTTGAGTTGGCATTATTCTGGCTTTTATCATATTGTATATTTTTTACATGTTAATGTGTTTTATGTAAATTGTGAAATATTACATTTTAGAAGTACATTTATTCCAAAGAATCAGTTTTGTCAATTACCATAAGTTGGTCTCTCTTGTTCTGCAGAATCTGACATATACTTACTTGCGTATTTTTGTATCTCCTTTCGGGAAATTTCATTCTCTTCAACGTGTTACATATTTTGAACAACATTAGGTTTAACATATTTTAAAACTTTGTGTATCCCCTGACCCTTCAGTAAAAGTAAATTCAACCTAAAGTCTGACCGCGTCAACCTTGTTGCACCGGCTAGTCCTATTGAGTGTCTGCTTTATTTAACCAATGTACGGGCGATACAGTACAAACTGGGACCGGAAAGATTGACCCGTGACGGCTGCCCGTGACGTATAATTGCAGCAGGACATAAAAGTCAGTTTTCCAAAGTCGGGAAATAAATTGCCTGAACAAGGATTTTTACTGTCATAATTTTAATAAATATTACTGAAACGATCTAAATCTTAACACAAAATTTTTCAAAACACTTATCATAATGCGTCTTACTCCCATTATTTTCTATACTCGCAAAGAGTTTGTCCTATTCTCTCAAAAAGTTTGTCCTATTCTCATAAAGTGTGTCCTATACCAATGAGTTTGTCCTACTCTCATTAAGTTTGTTCAGCTCCCATTAAGTTTGTCCTATTCGCATTAAGTTTTTCCTTTACTCACCTTGAGTTTGTCCTTATGACTGTCCTCTGTATGTTGGCTTTATACAGTCCTTGTCTATAGGACGGATAGTAGTTAGGACAATCCACTAGTGTAACTGTGTCCTTAAAAAATATATATAGTTCATTAAAAGGATTATCATTATAATGATTCTACCATAAATGATTCACAGAGTACCCGTAAAACCTTATCATATATTTTTAATAATGATGACTAAGAAATCTAGAGAACTATAAAAGTTATGACTTTCATTTAAAGACCCGGTCGACTATGTAAGGTAGTTGAACTGAGTATGCAGTGTTGTGGACAAATTCTTTAGGGTTCATTTGAGACCTATAAAACTTTTTAAAGATCTGTAAATTCTGAGTTTGAGCGCAAAGTCGACGTTCAAAATCGTGCTTTTTCAGAATAGTTTTTTAAGTTATTAAATAATGACGACAAAAAATGTAAAAACTGCATTCTCAGTTTAACTAACTTACATAGCCGGTATGTCCCTTTAAAAGTTTTAATAGGTTTGGTATCTTAATAGTAGAACCTGTTAAAGTGTGGTTTTACTATTAAGACAAACAACAAATTCACCAAGTTTAGTTTGATTTGTTTTGGATAAAACAAGAACATATATATATAATCATTTCTCAGCAATAGTTAATCGTTTATGGCACTAATCAATTAAAAGATCTTTAAGAACCCGTCGATAATCCCTAGTTAGAGAATGCCATTTCATAAATACCTTCTCTATATGAACCCAGACATCATTCTGTTGAGCTTCGCCATTTTCCTGTTCGTGTATATTTCAATTTTTTATTTTCAGACCCTCTGAGAGTCAAGTCAAGTTTGGATCTTATTCCAAGAATTTAAAAATGAATGTAAATACCATGGTAAAACTATTTCCTTGCCCAAAGAGTATATGCAGGTAGTATTTGCTTTTTTAGAGGATTAATAAAAAAAGTGTTACAAAAACTGACCCCCCCCCTTTTTTTTTGATTCCAGGTTTTTGTATCTTTCGGTTTATGGATGGCGTTTTTTGAGCAAATTATGTTTACGGAAACCAAGGAACACTGTATAGAAATAAGAATTGACGATCAAATCTTAACTAAGGTTGTCATAAACCCTTTGAATCTTCATAATCAGTCTCTTTTAGTGCATTTGATGTTTTTACAAAGCTTTACTAGTAAGTTATTAAATCAATTATTAATTAAAATGGGTCTGTTTACACTACACAATTCCTGTGCCTCATGTTTATTGAACTATTTAAAGTCATTAGCTGAGTCTACTTCCTATTCCTAAGTTTTCTGGTTCTCCTTGTATATTGAATAAACTTAAAAGATTTAATTTAAAATTAGAAAGTTTCCTGTATTAGATGAGATTTGATAAAACTTCTTGTGAGCTTGAAATTATCCAGTTTTCTATAGTTAATTAATTATACAACTTTAACAGTTTAAAACACACATTTTTCCATGTTGTCAGGGCTTAGATTTTTCTTTATTAAAACTAGAAATAATTATCAGAAATGTGAATTTTAGAAAATTAATAACCAAAATCTTGAATATTAATAATGAACTAAACTTTTTAAATTATAATTTCTTATCAGAATTATGACTTTTGAACAAAAATTGCCAAATCATTTTGAATATTAGAAATATTTTTACAATTAGATATACATAACTGAAAAAAAGCCAAATTAATTACGATCATGTGGAAGAAAAAATTATCAGAAACTTGAACTTCCATTTTAGAGAAAAATATATAAGTTTAACATGAGAAAAAAGAGATGTTTTGAACAATTGAGTTGTGTAAAAACCTTAGATCTGGTAAAAGTATAGTTTGACCCTTCTGCTCAGCTAGTTCAAGAAGGTCAGCATAATCAACCTGAAACCAAACCAATCTTTAAAATATAATTGGCCTCGACTGAGTCAATTAGAAAATAGATATTCATTTTCTTTGCGGTATTGATTTAAAAAAATTCATATTCCATTGATTACAATGCCGTGTATAGTATACCATGTACAGTGTACTGTGTACCATGTACCGTGTACCGTGTACAGTATACCATGTACCGTGTACCGTGTACAGTATACCATGTACCGTGTACCGTGTACAGTATACCATGTACGGTGTACCGTGTACCGTGTACAGTATACCATGTACCGTGTACCGTGTACCATCTACCGTATCACCTCGGACTAACCTCTCTTCTATTCTAACTAGT